GAGTTTGTAAGTCTGCTGCCCTGAGCTTGTCAGGTGAATGTGTGCCCTGTCTCTTCCACAAATCTCCCTTTTGGTCATAAATCAACCCAAAGGATGGATGCACTGGTGACCAGCCATTTGATTGGATAATGAGGTCCCTTGTTTCTAGGAAGGCTCATTCCTAGGAAATCTCAGAGTCAGGGTTTGTCTTGCTGAACAGGGAGGACCACTGGGATTGGGGCAAGACTATAACCTTAGATGGCATTGAAGGTCAAATTGTTACTAGTGAAAAAGGTGGATGAATGGGAGGCAGTCAGACCCTACACGTCCTTGTTAAAAAATATTCTGGATCGTTTCTAAAATGTTTGAGCTGCCATGATCCCAGTCTTTTTGCCAGCTAAGTTTTGTTTTCCTGCATCTAGTATAACACTTACGTATTAGGAACAAGAGTAACAGCATTAAATCAGTAACACTGATTAGGAGTAGAAAATGTCTAACACTAGGCAAGGAAGAGTCTGAGAGAAACAAGCATCCCAGCCAATCAAAATACCCTTTACCTGTATCATCATTATTTTTATGAAGCTAATAATATTTTCCTCCTTCATCCACTGTTATTTTTACCTTATGGTATGTTTTGGCCAGATGAATTGATACTTCCTACTATTTCATTATCCGGAAGCTCTATTTTTTCTTCTGACCAGTGAGTTTCCACAGAAATGACTTCATGGGGAGGATTAAGTTTAATTTCCCAATATATTAGATTTCCAGTAACAATATTTTCATTGGTTTTATCAACCTCAGGCAAAATTATTTTGGCTATAATTTTAGTATTACACCATATCCCAATAGTATTTAACATAAACTTGGTATTATTGCAATAAAAGTCGCTTAGTATAAATAAGAATTCTCTAATCCTTCCCAACAAAAAATGCCCCTTTCCCATCCATCATATATTGTTATTCGTTGGGATAGATACAATAAGCTGGGGTTGGGGGAATTTAGTGTTCCTTATAGATCCAGGGCGTAACCATTCACCTTTTCAATTTTCACAGACAGTGAGATGGGTCCCCCTTGTTTATTAGTTTTAATATGTTGGCCAGTTTTTCTTTTATCTTTAAATTTTATTTGTTTTTTGTCATTGTTGTTCTTTTTGATTTTGGGTTGTACTTACTTTTTTATTTTTATGTATTCTATTGTATTATTTTCTTTTTAGAGTCTTGAATTTGAATCAGAGGTACTAGGGTCTTCCCCACTATAGTATTATAAATAAATTCACCTATATCTTCTAGTACTTACTTGACTCTTTTTTAATTTGAGTTTTTAATCCATTTGTCATTTATGCTGAAATTTCGTATAAACTATTCATTACCTTTTACCCAGTAGATAGTACGCCATTTATTCAAAATAATCTGAGGTGCCATCTTTACTAATTCAAGTTGCTACATGTGTTTGTGCCTATTTGAGGAATTTCTACTCTGTCCCACTGGTCTATCTATTCACAAGTTGACACTAGAGTGTTTTAAATAATGAAGTATTATATTATGTTTTAATCTCTGGAAGCTTTCAAAATTTTCTGGTTATTCTTGCTTGGATCTCATTAAATATATTATCAAAAACAAATGTTGAAATGTTTTTGAGTCTTTTATCAAGGAATATGATAAAATATTCCTTTTATCAAGGAATGTTTTCATTTAAGTATACATTTTTTATTCTGTCAAGAGTGTTTTATGATTTCCCTCCTGTAGATTTTGCCCATTTCATAATAAGTTTATTCCTAGGTATATTTACTATTGAAACAACAGTAAAGACAATAAAATTTTTCTGGGTATTGTTTGCAAATGTGAAAGCTGCTGATCTTTATTAACTTAAATCTTGCTACCTTATTAATTGTCTTAAATTGTAGTAGTTTTTAAAATTAATTCTTTTATGTGTTTTACAAAAGAAAAATTACATATGATCATATCATTTGCAAACAGATATACTCCTTACCTCTTTATTTTCAATTCTTATACCATTGCTTTTCTTCTCTTGTCTAATGACAGTTAATACCCCCAATGAAATCTTGAACAGTACTGGTATGATAGACATCTTTTTGTTGTTCTTGGCTTTATATATAAACATATTTTCCATGTTAAAATATTTATCAAGATTCATTTTATTAAATTTCAAAAATCTAAAAGGGTTATTACATTGTATCAATATCTTTTTAATTTGCAGAACTGATTTGTGAACTTTTTTCTTAAATCCCATTGCATTTGACAAATCACATTAATGGATTTTCTAGTGTCCAGTATTCTTAAATTAATGGAGTAAACCTTGCTTGGTTATGGTGTGTGTTGCTTTATAGTCATCTGTAAAATTAATCTGTAGTTTTTTTCTTCCCTAAAATTTTGTTTTCCTCAAGGTATAATGACATAACATCATAATAGTTTCAGGTGCATAACAAAACAATGCAATATTTGTATAAATTTCAGAACAATCACCACAACAAGTTTGATTAACCTCCATAGTTGCTTTTATATATAAATTATTAATTAGATTTTGTACCAATATTACATTTATTTCATACAAATAATTTTGGTTTGGACAGTTTCAAGAGCATTTAAATTCTCTTCTCTTTACAGGTTTAATAAAATTCTCCTTTGAAACTTGACCTGACATTCTGTTTGTTTACTTGCCACTAAAGAAATTGATGATGCTATTATTTAGCGTAAAATTATGTTTCTTGCCAAAGCCAATCTTGTATAAACAAGTGTCCTCAAAGTGTTGAAAGCCAAATATAAACAACAAATCTAGAAAGTGGCAAGAGTAAAATACATTTCATGTAAGAGAACAATAATTCAGCTAATAGCTGTTATCTATGAGAAACCGCCAGGGTAGAACAACATTTTTAAAGCTCTGAAAGAAAAAGAAAATTGCCAATGCAAGAGTTCCCTATTCTTCAATAAAGAAGGCGAAATAAAGGCATTTTCAGATTAAAGAAAACTGAGAGAATTTAGTGCAAGCAGATTTATGCTACAAGAAATGCTGTGGTTAGTTCTTGAGGCTGAAGAGAAATGATAAGAAATGGAAATAACACTCACAGTTAAGAATGAAGAGCATCAGAAATGGCAACCGCATAAGTGGAAAAGACTTGTTTTTGCTTTTCATCCTAATGTCTTCACAATCAATTTGACCGTTTAAAGCAAAATATATCATCTTAAGGGGGGGGTTATGACATACCTCACTGTAATACATGTAACAACTATAAGGTAAAAATTGGGAGAAGTCAATATAGACTTATGCAGTTGCAAGTTTTCTACATTTTATATGAAGCCATAATGCATAAGTGAAAGTGAGCTATGACAAGTTTTATGTAACCTGTTAACTATCTATCCATAATCTATCATATATATATGTGTGTGTGTGTGTGTGTGTATCTATCTATTCTCAATCCTTTCAGCATCCATCAACATAAATAATGCAAAACAAGTGCAGCTGAAAAGCCAAAAAATGTAATTCTAAAAAATACCTAGGGAGAATCAGGAAAGCAAAAGAGAAAAACAGCATATGGAAAGGACCAATAAAAAATAAATAATAAAATGGCAGAACCAACCACAAGCACATCAATAAATATACTAATGGTCTAAATACTCCAATTAAAAATATAGTTTAAATGGACAAAAAAAGAAAAAAACATGACCCAAATATATAGGGGTTGGTAAGGGTAGGTTTATAGTTGTGAGTGTGCGAAATGCAGTTTATTCTTGTATTACTATTTATTAAATATTGTATTATTTATTTGTATTACAGTTGTAAACCTACTTTTGCCCACCTTTTATTCTATCAATAAATGAAACACTTTAAATATAGAGACAGAAATAGACCGAAAGTGAATAGTTAAAAAACACTGTACCATGAAAACAAAATATAAGGCCCATAAAGCAAATAAATTGTATTTTTTTATAAAATAACAGTGAATTATAAGAAAAAATTTTAACTTTCATTTATAATAGCATAAGAATACTTGGGGATAAATTTACTAAAATATGGGTAAGACTGCTATACTGAAAACTACAAATTCTTGCTAAGAGGAATAAAAGCAAACTTAAATAAGTGGAGAAATACACATTCCAATGGGTGAGAAGATTCAATACTGTGAAGATGACAGTTGTCCCTGAACTGATCTGTGCACTCACTGTAGTGCCAGTCAAAATCCTGATAAGCTTGCTTGAAGAAATGAACAGTGTGCTTCTGAAATTTACAAGGAGAAGCAGAGACACTGAGCAGCAGTAATAATTTTGAAAATAAAAAGCGAAGTTGGAGGACTTACACTATCAAATTTCGAAATTTACTACAAAGCTATAGTATTGAAGTTAAATGGCATAGAGGGTACAATTAGGCCAATGGAACAGCATCCAGAAATAGTGCAACACATACAGTCAATTAATTTTCAACAAAGGTGGCAAGGTGTTTCAATGCAGGAATATTCTTTAACCAAAATGTGCTGAAACAATTGTATATCTCTGGCTAAAAAAATTAACAGTAAAGTTTCCTCTGACTATAAGCAAAAATAAACTCAAAAAGGATCATAAATCTCAATATAAGAGTACTAAAACTCATAGGTGAAGGCACAGGAAAAATGGGTATGATATTGAGTTAATCAAAGATTTCTTAAATAGGACACAGAAAGCACTGATTATAAAGGACAACACTGATAAAATGGATTTGCACATAAATTGTATCTCTATAAAATATAGTAAATTAAAGTACTGCGGGAAGAAAAGGAGAAATGAGAAGCAGTGAAGGGTCAAGCCTAGGCTAATACCCCTTTCTCCTGGACTCTCCCGGTTACCATGTTGTTTGTTGCTTGATTAATTCTTTAAATCACTAAACAAGAGTTTATTGTATTGTACACTTATCTGTGCCAGGAATGTGTTGGGTGCCAGCCGACAAGGGGTTCAAAGTCCTGTGTAGACACAGAATAGTAAGCAAATTCCGATGCGTATCAGGGGCAAAGGGAAGTACAGTGCGAGATGGGAGTGAGCCTCCAGAGCAATATCTGAAACCGATTAAGGGACCAGGAAGCAGGCTGGGACGGTCAAGACTGCCCGAAAGACAGGAGGCTCCCCAAGCAGAGCAGGTGATATAACGGGGAGGATGATCCCACAGGGGCAGGCCCTGCAGAGACACGGCATCATGACTGATTGGCCTTTTCTGGAACTGTCTGTAATTTTGTTCAATAGGCAGATCCAGTTCCCCCGGTGAAGGAATGAAAAATGAAGACTGAAAAATTAAACAGAGGTTGACTCATAAAATCTCCTCTATGCTTGGGTAAGCTCTTTGAATTTTATCCTAAGGCAAAGGCAGGTCGTTCAAGGGTTTTAAGCTTCTTAAGCAAAGAACTTTAACATATCTGTGTTTTGAAAAGGCTGGGACAGCAAGATTGGGTAGAAATGACGAGGCAAGCTGCTGTTGTAATTACACTGGTAGAACATAATGAGTGCCTAAAGTAAGACAGCTGCAGTGAAGAAAGAAGAGAGAGAGATGGAGAGGACTGAGTCGGCATACCCACCCACCTTCCAATTAGTCAGAATGAGATTTCTTTTTCTTATCTCATTTGCTGGTGTTAAGAGAAGAAGGTATAGAACATTGATGGGTCCTGGGCTTGGACCTAAGCAGCCGGTGGTGGTGCTTACTGAGAGGAAGATGCCGGGGAAGCAGGGTTGTGTGATACTCCCTTCTTACACTGGGCAGAATCTTGAGCGTGGGCGCACCAGCTACTCCCAACTGGATGGTACTCGACGGTTACCCAAATTGCTCTTTCACATTAATTTTATTGTTTTTCAACAGGACTATACTACACTTTTGTCTAGTTCTTTGATCACACCACTATTCACCCATTAATAACCTCTGATGCGAATTTGTTAATTCAGGCCACTGGCCAGATGAAATTTGCTGATTCTCCAACTGAAGCCATTTTACTGGCCAAATGAATTAAATTAGTTCAGACTTTTTTGAGGAACAGGAAGTATGCATACAGAAAAATCTCTGTCCCTTTTTTCTTTTCTCTCTTCCTTTTCCTCTTCTTCCCCCCGTTACCTTCTCCCCCTTTCCTCTTCTTTTTCTTCCCCCTCTCCTCCCCCCTTGTCTTCATTCTTCTCCAGTCGTCCATATCTTTCCCCTCTCTCTCTCTTTCTCTCCCCCCGCCCCCACTCTCTCTTGCTGTATCCCTCTCATTTCTTTGTTCTCTGTTAATCTGGGGGACATTTTTCAGTCAAACTGTTTCCAGTGACTGGTTCTAGCCCAAACGTTATCAACTCTAAAATCTGGAGCCGCTAGATATATGACATTGAGTCTGACATTTCCATGGAAAGCTGCATTAAATATCTTCTTCCTACTACCTTTAGCTCTTCACATGACCCATGGTTTAACTTCTGCAGGATGGATTACATTCTCTCCCCCAGCTGGTTACAGATACCGTCTCATGGAAAAAAGTTTAAAAATAATTGTCAGCCTATTCAGCGTGGCAGTATCCGGGTGAGAGGGAAGATACTGGATGAAGTGAGAGAGGACACAAGAGACGAGAGAGGGCACATGTTTCTACTTACGAGCAAGAGCTTTAAAACTGTGCCAAGCAAATCTGCTGGTGGCCCAATGGGGAGTAAGCACATGAACAAAAATCACCACATTTGACTATGACAAAATATGTTGGCTGAAGCAATGAAACAATCTTAAAGTATCCTTTTGCGGGACTTTCAGTCATTGTCCCATTGCAATCAGCACATGATATACAGGGCCGATGGGGAGAGTAATGCAATGGGAAAACAGCCATTAACTCAAACTGTGAGTTTTTTTCATTAACTCGTAATAAGAGTTTGAAAGACCTTTAAATTTATCTGGCCTTCAATGTTCTGACCCATCAAAAAATAAAACAATTGCTACCACATAAGACTTTATGAGAATAAACTGAGACAGCCTTTGTGGAAAATTCCTCAATATAAATGTATTTCATTATTACCATTTATAATATTTACTGAGAAACAATTTTCAGAGTCAGAGTTTTTAATTATAAAAGCAATGAGCAAGAAAAATTAATTTGTGTCCAAAATTTTTTATATAAATGCTGATTTCCTCATAAAACTTTACATAAAATAACAAGCACCTTAGTCCTTAGTGGAGATCATGACTATTATAACAATATCTTCTGGCACGGAAAGTTTTTGATTTGGCTCTTGCGAAATAATTATCCCATAGAATAGTTAATGGATAAAAGCCAGAACTATGAAAATAAATTTAAGTTTTATAAAAGTATCACAGATGTCATTTCTTGCAGTGGAAGAAACTTCATGGCAGATACAATGGTATTAGATTTTTGCTGGGGTGGAATTACATCAAGCATCTTTAAATTTTTGGTTTTTTAAAAATTTGGCTTTATTTTTACAGCATGTATTCAATTGCTGAAAGCCATATTACCTAATTTTGTTTCAGCTTCTATAACTCATGATAAATATTATGGTGCATATGCAAATTTATGTAAATCAAGATACAGAAGTTCATAGGAAATTCAGACCTTTTTTATACTTTCAATGGAGCTTTTGCTACATTCTGTTAGTAGATTTGGACAACTTTTAAGGTGCAGGGTTTGATAACAAAAGCTATTAAAATAAACAAACCAAAAACCTTGGAGTCAATGCAGGGCATCCTTGAACATTGCCTCTGGGCAGGCAAGTCTGGTTTGCTGGGAATAATGACTTGATCAGTGGTAAGTGAACCATTATATGTAGCCCATATAACTAGACTCTGTATGTAACTGCACTTAAATATTAATGGGGTAAATATTATAACATTTCCTTCTATTAATGATGACTAAATCTTAAACATATTAGTAATAAATAGCCAGGGTTTAATTTTTTTAATTTCATATGCAGAGGTATAGGTTATATTTTCCATAAGACATACTAAGCTACTTAATGTTCAACGCTCTAGAGAGATTTAGTGTCCAGCTTGGCGATTAAAACACAGCCCCATAAGCACACACGCAAAGAAGTCCTGCAGCTGTTGCCCTTTGTCATCTAGTCAGCTGGTTGGAGCAGAAGACAGTTAGCTGCAGACCACTTTGCTGGATTGAATTAAACTTTCTGCAGGAGACGCCACAGAGCATGATTTTTACTCTGAAGAGCTCAGAGGCAAAGGAACCCCTTGTTCACCCACTCCAGAGTGCCCGCTATCCATGTACTAACCGGCAGTTCTCCTTTAGTCATAATAGGATAATGACTGTTATGTTAGGCACAAAAGAGCCTATTTTGCCACATTTATTGTTCTGAGTAAACAGTTTCTCCATCATGAAAAAGACAAATGAACAAAGCCTGGAAAAAAGAACATGGGAAAAGAAAAAGCAATTGGCATTGGAATATTGGAATTCAGAGTGAATTTCCTTTTTATATTGCTTACTATTATTTTTAATGTTTTTTATATCTTTAAACTCCTGATAGAGTAACAAATGCTTATTAACCTAGAATATGCTCATGGAGAATTTTTAGTTATGTGACCATAAACTAGTCTTGTTTAATTTTGTACCAGCTCTGAAGAGGTGTTACCACAAATTATACATAAAAAGGAAGTTGTGTATGGGAGTACGTGGTTTGCCTAATCTGAAAACAAATTACTTTTGAGCATTACCTTCATCTAGTTTTATAAAAGCCTCATGGTCCTAAGGAGCACACAATCTAAATTGTTTGCTACAGCAGATTTGCAGAACAAAAGGCAACAGCTATGTTCTTTTTAATCTATTTTAATTGTTCAAGTACAGTTTTCTGTCTTTTACTCCCATCCCAGCCCACCCCCCAGTGCTCCCCACCTTTCTCCTTTTTCCACCCTGCCCTAGTTTTGGTCCATGTGTCCTTTATACTTGTTCCTGTAAACCTTTCCCCTTTTCCCCTGAAATTCCCTCCCCTCTTCCTTCTGGTCACTGTCAGCCTGTTCTCTATTTCAATGTCTTTGGTTATATTTTGCCCAATGTTCATAGCAGCACAATCTACAATAGCCAAGTGCTGGAAGCAACCTAAGTCCCATTGGTAAATGAGTGGATAAAAAAATTGTGGTACATTTACACAATAGAATACTATGCAGCAGAGAGGAAAAAAAGGAGCTTCTACCTTTTGGGACAGCATGGATGGAACTGGAGAGCATTATGCTAAGTGAAATAAGCCAGGCGGTAAAAGACAAATACCATATGATCTCACCTTTGACAGGAACCTAAACAACAGAACAAACAAACAAGAAAAATATAACCAAAGACACTGAAATAGAGAACAGACTGAGAGTGACCAGTTATGTTTTAATCCCGATATCACATTATTCTAAGTACTTGGAAATTATATACTTAATGTTCCTCAAAAATCGTCTATCACTGAGGATTGTTGTAATGTCCCAGTGACTTGTGTTCCCAGTTCTGGGTTCTCGCCCTCTTCCTCCATTCCTACTGCCCCTCAATCTAGCATTACTGGATCAGTTCCCCTAAAGCCTTGTTTCCTCATGCCACTGTCCAGTAATGGCTCCCCAGTGCCTAATGAACACTTTTGATTTGCTATTCCCCAATGCTTTCTATAATTTGCCCCCACACAAACTATACAACGTTCTCTTTTAAATCCCCAATGAGGAACTTTAGTTTCTCCCACTTAAAAACCCGTCTTATTCCCTTCAACTTATCTAAATCTTACCTTGTCTTCCAGCTTAATTTCTGTATCACCCAATGAAAATCTTCTTCGAGAATCATAGCCCAACTTGTTAGTTCTTATTTCTGCATTCCCATGAAAATTTATTACATATACTCCTATTACTGCACAAACACAGGTAATCTTGACGTATTTTTAAATACTTAACATATATTTACATATTATTTTTATCACATCAATGTCCCTTGAAACAGCTACTTTTGTCATATTTATTCTGTATCTGTCTAGTACCTATTATGTTCCTAGGAATTGTTAAATTGTAATAACAGAGTAGACACTCAGTGAGTGCTTGTTAAATGAGTGAATGGAGAGAATACCTTATTCAAACAAGAAGCAAGATTCTGGTTCCAATTTCACTCTTTTTTTAACCAGAGTGATATTGGCCGAATCGGTTAATATTTTCAGTCCTCCATTTTCTCATCTATGGCAAGAGCCAGGTAAAAAAGATGATCTTTCCGTTCAGGTTTATCCTGATTTCAGTAAATATTTATCTCACTCTATCACCAAGCCTCCTCATCTTCCCATAAGAATACTTGTCCGTGGTGATGTAAGAACTTCCTTTCAGCAATCCCTCATCCATCATTCACAGGGGAAATT